TTTTTTTTTTTTTTTTTTTTTTTTGAGACGGAGTCTCGCTCTGTCGCCCAGGCTGGAGTGCAGTGGCCGGATCTCAGCTCACTGCAAGCACTGCCTCCCGGGTATACGCCATTCTCCTGCCTCAGCCTCCCGAGTAGCTGGGACTACAGGTGCCTGCCACCTTGCCTGGCTAGTTTTTGTATTTTTTAGTAGAGACGGGGTTTCACCGTGTTAGCCAGGATGTTTTGACCTCTTTAGAAATAATCTTTGCTAGGTGACTATGAGCTTTGATCCTTTTCTGTAAAACCGACTGTTGGTTTCTAGGTTTGAGACAGTCTTTAAGTCAGTTTTTTCAATAAATTCCCTCACCAAGTTATCTTTTTTAGAGAATGGTAAGATAAATTAGTTATATTTCACATATAACTATTTTCCCTCCTGGTTTTATGTTGTTTTAAAACTGGCCTCTAATTTTATAATTTCACATCTAACAATCTTTTGGTTCCTGATGTTTCTTCTCATGCAGTTGGAAAACCAAAGAATCAGGTGATCACTGCTTGTCGGGATGCAATTCGAAGTAATAACATCAACACACTGTTCAGAATCATGCGAGTGGGGACAGCTTCTTCATAGGAGAGGAAAATACAGGTCATGAAGTTCTTGGCAAAGATTTTCTGTTAAAAACCTATGCTGGTTTGCTTTGGATCGTACCCTGGTGAACCCTAGGTGCTAAGAATGAAAATAACCTTGGTGAGTTGTATAAATTAAAGACAGAGAACTACTTGTGAAGATAGATTCACTTTCTATTTTAAAATCAGTAGTACTGTTGCTGAATAATACTAGGTTTGTATGGAATAGGATGAATGCTTTGGAAGTATTAAGGCTTCAGAGTCCAATTTTTGCTTATTTATGGTATATAAATACATATTTTTTCTTGAAATTATAACTGAATTTGTACTTTTCAAATTGATTATCTACTTTTTAATTAAAAGGTAAAGATGTTAAACTTTGTGTTGATTGATTATAAAATCACTACCAAATCAGAATTGCCCATTTGTATTTTGTAGAGAAAAACAAAAATGTGCACTGGGTGCAGGGCTCATGCCTGTCATCCAGCACTTTGGGAGGCCAGGGCGGGCGGATCATAAGGTCAGGAGATGAGACCATTCTGGCTAACACAGTGAAACCCCGTCTCCACTAAAAATACAAAAAATTAGCCGGGTGTGGTGGCACTAACCTGTAGTCCAAGCTGCCTGGGAGTCTGAGGCAGGAGAATTGCTTGAACCCAGGTGGCGGAGGTTGCAGTGAGCCGAGATCGTACCACTGCACTCCAGTCTGGGTGACAGAGCAAGACTCCTGTCTCAAAAAAAAAAAAAAAAAAGGATATTGGGCTGAGCGCAGTGGCCCACACCTGTAATCCCAGCACTTTGGGAGGCCAAGGCGGGTGGATCCCCTGAGGTCAGGAGTTTGAGACCAGCCTGGCCAACATGATAAAACCCGGTCTCTACTCAAAATACAAAAAATTAGCCAGGTTTGGTGGTGGACACCTATAATCCCAGCTATGCAGGAGGCTGAGGTAGGAGAATTGCTTGAACCCGGCAGGCAGAGGTCACAGTGAGCAAGATTGCACCACCGCACTCCAGCCTGGGTGACAAGAGTGAAACTGTCTCAAAAAAAAAAAAAAAAAAAAAGTGGGTATTTGGATTTGTGTGCTTGTTAATCACCGAAAGGTGGGTGCAAACAACAAATTTACATTAAGGAAGAGTCAATTTAGAGTGATCACTTTGTTGGGGTAATGTTCGTTGCTGTAACAAATAGACCTCAAAATCATAATGACTCATTTTTCATTTGTTCTATAAGGATATCTCCATAGTTATGCAGGGACCCAGGTTCCTTTAATCATGTGGCTCTGTCATCCCCTAGGACAAACTTTTCTACCTGAGTTCCCTAAAGGAATAAGCCTAAGGAAAAAGGTTTGGGTGACTAGTTTCACATTCAGTACATACAGTGGAGGGAGGTCTTAGGATAGTGGGGCTTTATTATCTCATTTGTGACACTATTTGACAAGGGCTGTCATAGGGCCTTGTGGTTATTTACAGCTATGTGCCAGATAATGAAGTTTAGGTCACCATAAGATTATAATACTGTATTTTTAGTGTACCTTTGTGTTTAGCTATGTGTAATTACACAAATACTTAGCATTATGTTACAGTTGCCTGCAGTATTCAGTATAGTACCATGCTGTATAGATTTGTAGCCTAGGAACAACAGGCTATACCATATAGCCTAGGTGTGGAGTAGGCTATACCATCTAGGTGTGTTTAAGTACACACTGTACAGTGTTCGCATGATGACAAAATAGCCTAACGATGCATTTCTCAGACTATCCCTGTTGTTAAGTGGAGCATGACCGTATAGCTAAGCTGGTAGAAGAGAGTAAGAGGAAAACATGGCTTCTTTTAAAAGTGTGGTCTGAAAGTAGCACACTATCATTTCCACTCAGAATTCCATTGAATCACATGACCACATCTGCAGGGGAGGCCGGGAGATGGAATCTAGCTGTATGCTTGTGAGAATGCTGGTATTTGTGCCAACAGCTAGCAGTCTCTTCTTTAGGAAAAATTTTGCCCTAACGTAGATTTCAGGACTGGTTTAATGAGTGAAACTTCAATTAGTTTTAATATCTTAATAGCATTCATGAGCAGTTTAGGGGAAGTGGCGCATTTCCCTGAGGTTAGTATACATTACATTAATTTTACTGATTTTGATGTGGCCACTTTAGGATCGGCCCTCCTATATCTGAAATGTAAGCCTTATGGAGTCCTAATTATGAGAATATGCTAATACTTTTGTTTTCCATTTTCAACCTGTAAACTCAAGAGATAATCCACATATACTGTATTATTTTCAGTCTCCAAAATAGTAAAGTATCATCGTAAATCTGCCTCACATGGAGGTTGCAGTGAGCTGAGATCATGCCACTGCACTCTAGCCTGGGTGACAGAGGGAGACTCCGTATCCAAAAAATAAATAAGTAAATCTGCCTCACAGAGGAGGAAACTGAGGCATAGATAACCTCCTTTTCAGGTCACAGAGTTAGTGACCTGTGTGACTTGTCTAGTGACTCAAGACGAAACTTGAGTCCTACTGTTGAGTCTTTGTTTTAACCATAGTCTAATTTATACCATTTGAGATGAAAATCTCTAGTTGGTGCTAGTTTTAAATTATATAATGCCATTCATTTTTAGGGAGTCTAGTAACATAATCTCATCAAAGGTCACTCTGTTGTTCTTTAGCCAAAAAACTTCCTTCTTAGATCTAAAAATACTTATGGCCAGGCTAGAAGGCACTGATGTGCAGCAAGACATCTTAAGTTGTTCTGATTTATAGGTTATTTTCACAGTAATTTGATCCTGTTGATGGCAATGTCTGTTTCACAGATGAGGCTCTGAGCTCCAAGACAAGAGTGTCCTGTACAGGGTCCCACAGCTGGGTAAGCCCTGGTGTAAAGGAGGTGTTGGAACCAAATAGTCATGGCCTCTTCTACTCCAAACTTCCTAAGCAAGTAAAGACTGGCTGAAGTGAAAACATTCATAAAACATGCAACTGCCCTTTTTTCCCCCACTTAGAACTCATCCTGTTCAGCTTAGGAATGAGGAAAAACTGAACAAGGAGAAATGAGTTTATCAGCAATTTCTCTATTTTGTTGCCATATGTTTCTATCCTGATAGAATCTGAATACTTCTAGAAGCTACGGCGAAGTGGTATTTCACTGCTGAATTATATTGAAGCTTTAAGTGAGCACTGAGCTGTCATTTAAAGCTGACTTTGAGGATTTTGATATCTGAGAGAAAGCTTTCAGTACCATAATTCAGGTTCTGAGGATTTTTAAGAGTATAATTTTTATTATTTCCCACCATGACTGCCTATCCAGTACCTCAAGGCCCCACTCAAATGCTCTCTCCTTAGGTGACCTTTCCTCTCCCATGTCTACTCCTTAACCCTTATTAAATTCTTTACCTAAATCTTAATCCCCTGTTAAGCAAGAATGGTGTCTGCATCTTAACCAGCATCACCCTGGCCCCAGTGCTGAGCCAATGCCTTGAGCATAGAATAGCATCTGCCGCTCTGCTTGGGATTATCTGTCCTCAATACGCCTGTCAGCAGCTTCAGAAATCAAAGAACTAGGAACTTTAAAACTATTATGCAACCCTAGAAGTGTTTTACAGGAATGATTTTCAACATTGTTATTAATGTTTCAAATTTTATAATTAGCAGTTACAGATCTGCCAATGCACAGTCCTGTCATTATAGAACTAAATTACCTCCAATTTCATTTGGAAACTCAAGTACAGTAAGACACCCATTACAGCCTGGTGTTTCGCATTTTGCCTCTTTTCCATCTGGCCCCTGCCCACACTCTATGCTCTAGCTCTGGAGTCATCTTGTAATCTGTACAGTACAGAATCTGCTTTTCCTAAAAGTGATGTCACATGGACATTTCCCAAGTCGTTTTTAAATTGTCTTTGTGGACTGATTTTGCATCAGAGAGAGAATCATCAGGACACCCGGTTCCATGCAGGCTGGAGAGCTCTCCTCTGGCATCATTTCACTAGATCTCCTCGACCCAGGACCTTTTCAACAGGGTTTGCGCTTCCTCCTTGTTTAGTAGTGGTAAGTATGTCACGGTGTTGACGAGATAATGCACCCCAAAACTTCTTATTCAAGAAATAACTGCCAGAACTTTGGGAGGCTGAGGCGGGTGGGTCACTTGAGGTCAGGGGTTTGAGACCAGCCTGGCCAACATAGTGAAATCCCATCTCTACTAAAAATACAAAAATTAGTGTGGTGTTAGGCACCTGTAATCCGAGAATTGCTTGAACCTGGGAGGCAGAGGTTACAGTGAGTTCAGATCACACCACTGCACTCCAGCCTGGGTGACAGAGGGAGACTCGATCTCATAATAATAATCATAATAAAGAAAAAAAAAAATACTGGTCTAGGAGAGGTAACCCAAGCTGTGATTTTTTTTTTTTTTTTTTTTTTTTTTGGGTGAGGGGTGTTCTGTGGGGAAGAAACCCACACTTTGGTGGAATTTTGAGAGGCAATCTTTAAACAGTAGACAAGCCTAGTTCAAAACTAACAGATTATTTCTCTTGGAACCTTCATTTTCCACATTCTTAAAATTAAGGACTAATGTTATTTGTAGGGTACTTCCTTAGACGTTTTATTTTTCTTCTTATTCAAAGATGCAAATATGTTCACAAGTTTTGTGAAAATGTTCCTCATTTCCAGTATGGTTAACATAAAAAGAAGAAGTAGTGAAGTAGTCTCTGTAAGGCTCTTCTCTTCCTGTCCAGTGCTGGAGCTTGAAGCCCAGAGGGCAGGTAGTCAGAAAAGATGTGGAGTTGGGGAGAACAAACTGCAACCCACAGGCATGGGCTAGAGCCCATGAGGATGCTAAAATCTGTCCATTTTTGTTGCTTCTGACCTTGATGGTGTGGGCATTCTGCTGAAACAGACCCTTTGCAGAGGAGCTGAAGATCCATCCAGGGGAAGGTGGAGTGGTTGCAGGCCCAGGCACAGGTGTGGTTCACACCAGCAAGGTGTGCCAGCTACTCAAGGGCTGCTGCTGCATTGGACCCTGCAGATCTGGCATAGGAATTTGTGGCTCATCCTAACCTGAGACATAGGGAAGAGAGTTGGGAAATGTAGTTCAGTCTAGCCAAGTTGAAAAATGACAAAGCTACCAGTGGCTGTCATAGGATGGTGGGATTTCAGGTGATCTTTAGATTATTACATGTTATTACCTCACAATGAGCATGTATTATTTATATAGTCTGAAAAAACAGCTATTTTTTTTGAGATGGATTCTCGTTCTGTTGCCCAGGCTGGAGGGCAGTGGTGCGATCTCGGCTCACTGCAACTTCTGCCTACTTGATTCAAGCGATTCTCCTGCCTCAGCCTCCCAAGTACCTAGGATTACAGGCATGCACCAGCATACCCAGCTAATTTTTGTATTTTTAGTAGAGATAGGGTTTCACCATGTTGGCCAGGCTGGCCTCCCAACTCCTGACTTCAGGTAATCTGCCAGCCTTGGGGCCCCCCAAAGTGCTGGGATTACAGGTGTGAGCCACTGTGCCGGGCCCATAGAGCTATTTTCTTTGGGGATAAAAATGGGAGTTATAAGAACTGGAGACTCACTATTAAGAATAAAGAGAGAAACCATATATTTTATAGGTGAATATCATAGCTTTTATCTGAAAGAGGTATAAACAAAGATGCCCATGTTCTAATTCTTCTTTTGCTACCTAACAGTTGTTGACATTGGCCCCAGGCCCTAAAAAGTAATCAAGATGCAAAATGAAGTACTATAAGGAAAACAAGCTTCACTATCACTGTGTGTCTTCAGTGCAGAAACACAATCTGTAAGTTACACCATCCTTCACAGTCTAAGAGGTGCTGCTGTAGATGATGTAACTGACAGCAACATCAGAGTTGGGCTCTTAGGGATTCTCTCCCCTCAGACACCCGAGTCCCTTTTTGTAGTGTATAAAAGATGGTGTGTTGACAGATTATAAACACACTGAGATAAAGGAGACACTAACAAGCACATTTTTAACATTTGTGAGGTATTCTAAGATTTAGATTTGGCTTTCCATAATTGGAAAATTGGCCTTGGATGGTACCTATAGCCATGAGTCTCAAACTATTTTCCAAGGTTGGCATACATGACAGTGCCACCTACCTAAGCACTTTTCCCTGGCTCTTCCTGGAGTTATGCCACTGACACCCTTTCTCCTCACTCATGAAAACACAACAGAAGGCAAGTGAGATGACCTTCAGTCAGCTGGAACATAGAAAAGGCAAGCTGTGACATAAACCATTAGTAACAAAGTATTCGTAGTCCCACTTGAGTGCTGCTACACTGTGGTTAAAAAATTGTGGTCTCCAGCCTGGCCAACAGGGTGAAACCCAGTCTCTACTAAAAATTTTAAAAAATTAGCTGGGTGTGGAGGCGGGTGCCTGTAATCCCAGCTACTCAGGAGGCTGAGGCAGAATTGCTTGAACCCAGGAGGCAGAGGTCACAGTGAGCCGAGATCATGCCACTGTACTCCACTCTGTCTCAAACACGCACACACAAAATTGTGGTCTCCAAAATGGTATGGTGTAAAATGGTTTGTTACCATATGCATAAGGGAAGACAATGTTAGAACTAGTTCTAGATATTTCTTTTTATCTCATCATTTAAAAATTAGTGTTTTATAACTACTAATATTAGTACTAATAGAACTAATATTGCATGCGTTAACTAATATTACAACATGCGTAAAATATATAAATATAAATATTTACATAAATATAAAAATAAAAAATATATATAAATAAATAAATATCCATATCAAGGGCATACCTGCTAAAACATTTCTTAACTGGCTGGGGTACAGAATTAAACCTTTTTGAAACTAAACCTAAAAGACAAAGCGAAACTCATTTTCATTTAAATGCAAACTTCAGGAAAGAATGAATATTCAAAGTTTTAGGAGATGAAAGAGAAGAGTGGTTAAGAAGTTTAAAGGCCCAGTGCTTTTTCTATTAATTAGTAAAACCCACACTAAATGCTACTGAAAAAGCTAAAAATAAATGTAAAAAAGAGAAAGGAAGAAGGAGACTGTTGGGATGGAATGAGAACAGCATCTTTCATCCACCCATGCATACCCACACATAGGTAATTATGATATAACTCCCTGGAACAGTTCAAGAAAAAAATTAACAAGATGCACAGCCTCTTGGCATTCTGATGTGGCTTTTTAGCATTCCATCTCTTAAAATAAAAAGCAGGCCGGGCGCGGTGGTTCACGCCTGTAATCCCAGCACTTTGGGAGGCTGAGGCGGGTGGATCACGAGGTGAGGAGATGGAGACCATTCTGGCGAACACGGTGAAACCCCGTCTCTACTAAAAATACAAAAAAATTAGCCGGGCATGGTGGCGGGCGCCTGTAGTCCCAGCTTCTAGGGAGACTGAGGCAGGAGAATGGCGTGAACCCAGGAGGCGGCGGAGCTTGCAGTGAGCGGAGATCGCGCCACTGCACTCCAGCCTGGGCGACAGAGCAAAACTCCAGGATAGAAAGGCAGTGGGCACTTGGAAGTGACTACACATGGCAATAAGCAGCCTATCTTCTTTACCAACCAGAAGTTTCTTGGGGCATGTGATGGTAGGCCAGACCCTTTCCAAAGGAGTAATACTACACATTGTCTAAGCCTACACTGTCCTGCGAGAGTCATGGTGGAACAAGGCCACAGGCAGTGTGAGGAAATGTGATGACTCACTGTGTCAGAATTCTAAGGCCCAGCATGATCAGGATGTAAGGCTCTGTAATTTTCTAAACCAGCATGATTGAGAAGAACAAAATCTGCAATCATTTTTTTTTTTCCCCTTCTTTTTTTTGAGACAGAGTTTCACTCTTGTTGCCCAGGCTGGAGTGCAATGGCACAATCTTGGCTCACTGCAACCTCTGCCTCCTGGGTTCAAGCAATTCTCCTGCCCCAGTCTTCTGAGTCGCTGGGATTACAGGAATGTGCCACTAACCCCAGCTAATTTTGTATTTTTAGTAGAGACAGGATTTCTCCATGTTGGTCAGGCTGGTCTTGAACTCCCGACCTCAGGTGATCCGCCTGCCTTGGCCTCCCAAAGTGCTGGGATTACAGGCGTGAGCCACCATGCCCGGCTGCAATAACTTACAAGTTTTTCTGAAAAAACCGAAACGCTGGAAACATGGATGAATCATAAAGACTTTATGCTAAGTGAAACCAGTTACAAAAGGACAAATACTGAATGATTCTACTCATATGAGAAATATGAGTAGTGAAGTTGACGACAGAGACAAAAAGTATGGCTGTTGCTAGGGGAAGGGGGGTGGGGAGTTATTGTTCAATGGGCACAGAATTTGGGAAGATGGAAAAGTTCTGGTGATGGATGATGGTGATGGCTGGACAAGGGGAATGTACTTAATCCACTGAATTGCATATTTAAAAATGGGTAAGCTGGTCAATTTTATGTTATAAATATTTTACCTCAATAAAAAAAATGATTGAAGTTAAAAATTCACTGAAGAAGCCAATATGGAAAAAGAAGGACTCAATGTTTAAAAAAAGCCAACTTTTTTTTTTTTTTTTTTAATCAAGAGATAAGTATGTAGCTCCAAGCTCAAGGTCTTGGTTGAGGACAATCATTATGAGTCCTAGTAAAAGACAACCAGTTTTAAGAACACTGTCAGGCAAGCTACCATGTAGCTCTCCTTGACTCCATGCTTAGCTCTTCCAGACTTCCCAGTACTGACGAAGGGTCACGTTTTTGTTCAGCTTTGTCCAGTGCTGTCATTCATAATATATGAATGAAAAGTCCCAGAAACCTGTTCTGTTTGGGAAGGTTTTCTTTTGTTCCAGGCTTCGGTGGTTAATATGCTTGACAAATTTCAGAGTCTCTCTATCTCTATAGACCAATGCCAAAGAATTGTTTTCTGGATTCACTGTTAGCAGCTGAAAAAGAAAAATACAGTGACACATCAGAACACAGAACTTATTCTCAACTCTTGGATGATTAACCATGGAACAGATGGTTTCCATACCAAGCACTTAATCTGGGGATAGAGGGGTCCTCTGAATGAACCTTTACTAGGGGTGGCTGTCAAGCCATTTTCCAACAAGCCCTATTCCAGCATATACCTAGAAAGGTACTTACCTATTACATTTATTTCTTATACATTGTAAGATTTGTGGCAATGCACAAGGCTCTTAATTTGGAATTTCTCAGGAGGGTAAAATAAATGCTTACTGAGTATCCTTTAGCATCTTTATTCCATGTTGAGTATTTTCTACTAGAAATTAGAACCATTGCCTGGCAGACCAACAGATTTATTAGCTAAAGATATTGGTAAAAGGTCATAAAAATTGGGTCTTTGAAAAATGAGAGCATTCTCAATAACTAAAAAGGATAGTTTGCTATCAGAAGAAACTTACCTCTTCATCTTCACCTTTGGCAATGTAAGAAGTAAAACCACCATATTCTGGCTCCCAGCCTTACAAGAGAAAAACAAATAGCATTCAGAAAGCCCTCATTGCAAGAGTTGCATCATCTGTTTAAATCACTGATCCCATGCTGCTTAACAGTGGGCGATCTGGGAGTTCAGCAGTAACTGGTTCTATGACTTATGAGCTTGAACTTATTATCATCTAGTTTGTCATGGATTCCCTTCCCCTAAATGCCTAATTTCCTGAGACAGTTGAACTGAAATGCAGACTTATTTCAAAAAACTTTGAATAAGAAAATTAAGAGAGAATTAAATGCTAAATATTTTCCCAGAAAGGCAATTACATAAAATCTATAGATCTGGGAGCACACTTAGGGGAAAATTATGGCATGGTCCATCTCCCCATTCCCTAGTCACAGATATAAATCCTATTTTGAACTGGGAGACTGGAACTCATGACCCCTAAAATCCCTTCGACTTTGAGATCCTGTGATCTGAGATTCTGAACTAGGCAAATTACTTATGAATTGGTTCAGCTGGAAAGGGTCCCTCAGAAGAGACTGACCCTCCTATGGGGAATAATTCACTGCTTGCTTTCCACTCTCTTACCTTCACAGCCACAGTAGAGAATTAAGTCTAGGGCAAATTCAGCCTTGCTATGGTCATGAATTAAAGTGTAGTGACCGGTCTTCCAACGCCTCAGTTCCCCTTGGCATGTGGGGACACTTGATTCTAAGAAGGAAAAAAAAAGAAGGATGAGCAACTTTAAAAAATAACCTTGATAGAACTGTTAGATTGTAAGGGAATGATAATTAGGAATGATACAGCAATACAGGGAAACCATTCCTTTCAAACCTTTGATTGAAGTGCTATTCTACCAATCCAGCCTTATAAAAGATTGTCAGAAATTACCAGCTCTATTTTGGGGTAAAAAAGTTGAATTTTGGGCTGGGCATGGTGGCTTATGCCTGTAATCCCAGCACTTTGGGAGGCCGAGGCAGGCGGATCACCTGAAGTCAGAAGTTCGAGACCAGCCTGACCAACATGGAGAAAACCCATCTCTACTACAAATATAAAATTAGCCAGGCGTGGTGGTGCATGCCTGTAATCCCAGCTAGCCGGGAGGCTAAGGCAGGAGGATTGCTTGAACCCAGGAGGCAGAGGTGGTGGTGAGCTGAAATTGTGCCATTGCACTCCAGCCTGGGCAACAAGAGCAAAACTCCATCTCACACACACACACACAAAATGTTAAATTTTGATTTCTCTCTATAATAATAAATTTCAGATGGAAAAGAAGACTAGTTGCAAAAAATATATATTAAAAAAAAACCATGATTATTATTTTATCTAACCTTAGAGATTTCTCAGCATGTTATTACCTAAAGTAAAAACCAGGAAAGGCAAAGATAGACCTGATTACTAAAATATTTTATAAAATTTAAACCATGCTGAACAAAATTAAAAAATAAACTATTACAACCTGTTAAACAGAAGGTTAATACTCCTCTGAGGCAGGCAGATCACCTGAGGTCAGGAGTTCAAGACCAGCCTGGCCAATATGGCAAAACCCTGTTTCTACTAAAAAATATGAAAATAGTAGCTGGGCATGGTGGCGTGTGCCTGTAATCCCAGCTACTTAGGAGGCTGAGGCATAAGAATCGCTTGAACCTGGGAAGCAGAGGTTGCAGTGAGCTGGTATCACGCCACTGTACTCCAGCCTGGGTGACAGAGCAAGATTCTACCTCAGAAAAAAAAAAAAGGTTAATACTCCTATATGTAACTTTTTTTTTTTTTTTTTAATAACTGATAAAATGACAAAAATCCCAAAGGAAAATACACTGAGGTAATGACAGGCAACTCATGAAAAAAAATCAAGTAACCAGTAGGGAAAAATATACAACCATGCACCATTAGTCAATGATAGGCAAATGCCATTTTCACCTAAAGAATAAACAAGTTGGAAAAGAAAATACAAATTTGCTAGGAAGAATGAAAACATCATCATGTACAATGCTGGTGAGAGTACAGACTGACACAAGTTTTGGGGAGGGCAATTTGGCAACTGCCTTAAAATTTTGAGCAGTCTTTGATGTATTACCATACTTCTGAGAAGCATTCTGAAGACACAATGGTTGCATCGTTTGTTATGACAGTAAAGAACTGGAAAAAATCTAAATGCTCAACACAGGACTGGTTAAGGTCATCTGATCCAAAAGATTGCAGGCATTAGAAATTATACTAGAGAACAGTGTTTTTCAAAACTTTTAGTTGTGGCATACATTCTTGAAATAAAATCTAGAAATGCTATGTTGGAAAGCAGATACATGTAAAACTGCTTTGGTGGGCAGGGCGTGGTGACTCACTCCTGTAATCCCAGCACTTTGGGAGGCCAGGGTGGGCGGATCATGAGGTCAGGAGATTGAGACCATTCTGGTTAACATGGTGAAACCCCACCTCTACTAAAAATACAAAAAATCAGCTGGGCATGGTGGCACACACCTGTAGTCCCAGCTACTCAGGAGGCTGAGGCAGAATCGCTTGAACCTGGAAGGCGGAGGTTGCAGTGAGCCGAGATCACACCACTGCACTCCAGCCTGGCAACAGAGCAAGACTCCATCTCAAACAAACAAACACACAAAAATCCAAAAAACTGCTTTGGTGGAAGGGTTTCCTAAGTGAGGAGGGTGTATAAACCTGTTCTATCGTTATAAAGGATGTAAAAGGATGAGAAAGAGGTTTATGAACTATTATGTGGAAAAAAGATTACAGAACTATATGTTCTGTTTATTATCATTAAAATCATATCATCATTAATATCATTATATCAATAATCATTATTATCATTAAAAACACGTGTAAAAATATGCCCCCCATAT